TTCCTTCCTTCCTTCCTTCCTTCCTTCCTTCCTTCCTTCCTTCCTTCCTTCCTTCCTTCCTTTCCTCCCTCTTCTCCCTCCCTCCCTCCCTCTCACTCTCCCTCCCTTCCTTCCGTCATCCATCCATCCATCCTTTGCTTCCTTCCTCCCTTCCTCCCTATTTATTTTTACCCCCTTGTATTCTTCCCTTAGGAAACATTGTCGGAGTCGGGCAGTGCCTCCTGCACGGAATGACGGTGGTGATCCGGAGGAAGTTTTCGGCCTCTCATTTTTGGGACGATTGTGTCAAGTACAACTGCACGGTGAGGCAGGGTGGACCCTCAGCGGGAGGGAAGAGGGATCACAGGTCTATTTGTGTGTGTGTGTGTGTGTGTGTGTGTGTGAGAGAGAGAGAGAGAGAGAGAGAAAACAGAGAGGAGAAAGAAAGGAGAGAGAGGGAGAGAAGGGAAGGGAGTAGGAGAGAGAAAGAAAGACAGAAACAGAGAGAGAAACAGAGGGGAGGGAGAGAGAGGGAGAAAGAGAAAGACAGAAAACAGGAGAGAGAGAGAAAGGAGGGGGGGAATGAGAGAAAGACAGAAAACAGAGGAGAAAGAGGGAGAAAGAAAGGAGAGAGAGGAAGAGAGAGAGAGAGAGAGGAGAGAAAGAGAAAGACAAAAAACAGAGAGGAGAGAGAGAGAGATTCTGTTTAATAGCTGTGCAAAACAGCAGCTTAGTTCATCAAATGCCACATCAGACCCTTGTTTGCCTTCCGGCTTAATCCTGGCTTTTCTTCCTGTTCAGATTTTTAAATATCCCCGGGGTGTAGGCACCCAAAGGAAGGTAAACATTTAATAAACGGGCTCCGTTTCCCCCCCCTTTGGTGGTTTTTAAAATTTTAAATCAAAAACAGACAGAACTGATGTAGAATTGGCACCTCGGATCATTCATGATTGGGAAATTCTCACCCGACATGGACTTCTTTTTTTAAAAAAAATTATTATTAAAAATTATTTTATTTTATTTTATTTTATTTATTTTATTATTTTATTTTTTTATTTTTTATTTAGGCACCTAAGCAGACCAAGGCTTCTAGAACAAATAAGTCATGTCGGGGTGGGGTGGGGGGGAATTTAATCAGTTTTATGCAAGATTCAAACGAGTTGAAGGAACACGCCGATGTCTCTGATCTCCAAAATTTATGCAAAGGTTTAGACATGGGTTGCGGTTTCTAAACACAAATCCAAGCCATAAATCTAAGCCCAATCTTAAAAGACAAATATTAAGACACAATCTTAAAAGACAAACATCCTAATTCAGAGGTCTCCAGACTTGACAACTTTAAGACTTGTGGACTTCAACTCCCAGAATTCCCCAGCCAGCATATTTTACTCTCTTGTAATCCCTTCCTCTGCAATCTCCACTTCAGGAGGTTAAGAGAAAAAAGAAACAGGCATTGCACCAAGGGCTCCAATTACAATTGGGATTATTATTATTATTATTATTATTATTATTATTATTATTATTATTATTTAACATGAAACTCAGTCAACTGAACATTTAAAAATATATCACAGATATCATTGACTGGTGCTGATTATTGATACGGATTGCTGCCAACAATAAATTATTATTATAAACTTTTATTCTTTTAAACATGAAACTCAGCCAACTGAACATTTAAAAATAGATCACAAATATCATTGACTGGGGCTGATGGTTGATACGAGTTGCTGACAGCATCCTAGGTGTCGACCAAGTATCTTCTTAAGATGTACAATGTTCCGAGTAGCGCAGGTTTTTTTGCAGTTCGGCTGGTGTTATTGCTGCAATTTCTTGATGTGCTTTATAAAATTCTTGGACATGGTACCAAGTGCCCCGAGAACCATGGGTATCATTGTCACAATCGTGTAGTTTCAATATTTTGTGAATTTTTTTCCCCCCACTTCTTTTTCTTCGACTCTGGTGTCTCCCGATACCATGATATCAATAAATTGTATGCTTCGGTTTTCGACAACTGCGATATCTGGCATGTTGTGTTGCCAAAGGACAATCCGTCTGCAACGTGAAAGTCCCACCTTGTGAAAGCATCTTCTGAAGGCATCTTGTGCCTTTCAGATTGTACAGTACATCGGAGAGATTTGCCGGTACTTGCTGAACCAGCCGTCCAAAGAGGTGGAGCGTCAGCACCGAGTTCGAATGGCGCTGGGGAACGGCCTGCGGGCCTCCATCTGGAAGGAGTTCAGCGAACGTTTTGGCATCCCTCAGATTGCCGAGTTTTATGGCTCCACCGAGTGCAATTGCAGCGTGGGGAACTTTGACAACAAGGTAGGAGAAGCAAGGAAGAGAGGAAAAAAACCTCTGGAGTTCAGGGCTGAATTGGGGAGCTCTTGGTGGGCTCTCTGAGCTGGGTGGCTTTCTTGCAGACGTTTCATGACCCAGCTGAGTAATATCCTCAGTGCTAGAAGGAAGAGGTGGGGAGGAGGAGGGGGGGACTGTGAGGTCCTTGGTGCTCTCTGAGTTTGGTGGTTTTCTTGTAGACGTTTCATTACCCAACTAGGGAACACCATGTGTGCTAGAAGGGAGTGGGTTTTGCAGAATGAAAGAGGAGGAGAAAGAGAAGAGGAGGAGAAAGAGGAGGACTATGGGGTCCTTGCTGTTCTCTGAGCTGGGTGGCTTTCTTACAGACATTTCATGACCCAACTAGGGAACATCATCAGTGCTAGAAGGGAGTGGGGTTCGTAGAATGGAGGAGGAAGGGGGAGGAGGAAGAGGAGGAGGACTGTGAGGTCCTTGGTGTTTTCTGAGCTGCATGGCTTTCTTGCAGACATTTCATTGCCCTACTAGGGAACATCATCAGTGGTAGAAGGGAGAGGTGTGGGGGGAGGAGGGGGAGACTGTGAGGTCTTTGATGCTCTCTGAGTTTGGTGGTTTTCTTGTAGTCGTTTCATTACCCAACTAGGGAACATTATCAGTGCTAGAAGGGAATGGGTTTTGCAGGGAGAAAGAGGAGGACTATGGGGTCCTTGGTGTTCTCTGAGCTGGGTGGCTTTCTTACAGACATTTCATGACCCAACTAGGGAACATCATCAGTGCTAGAAGGGAGAGGGGAGGAAGAGGAGGACTGTGGGGTCCTTGATGCTCTCTGACCTTGGTAGTTTACTTGCAGACATTTCGTTGCCCAACTAGGGAACATCATCAGTGCTAGATGGAAGCAGGCTTTGTGGAGTGGAGGAGAAGGAAGGGGAGCAGTCAAATGACATTGAGGATGAAGTGGATTTTCCCTCGTTGGGTCATGAAATGCCAACCACCCAGCTCAGAGAGCACCAAGGGCTCCACAGGAGAAGTTGTGCCCAGGGGGACAACACGAGTCCTCCCTGTTCTTCTTCTGAGCCCGTTTCTCCACATTTCTCCCCTCTGCAGTTGGGGGCCTGTGGCTTCAACAGCAGAATCTTGCCCCACGTTTACCCCATCAAGTTGGTGCAAGTCAACGAAGACACCATGGAGCTGATCCGGGGACCAGATGGGCTCTGCGTGAGGTGTAAACCAGGTGAGACCAGGAAGTGGAGGCGATGGAGGACTATGATAAATGGAGTGTCTGCTTAGTCTTGAGAGCTGCAAGGATGGTCTTTGCACAGTATTGGAAAAATGAGAGAACACCCCATGAATGAGGAAGATAATCCGGAAGATACGATCAAAGCTCTTTCTCCTTTTATTTATTTTTTATTTTTTATCTTGTGGATCTTTTTTTGTAACTTCATTTCCAAATTCTTAAGTTTGTCTTGCAGTGCGAATTCTTGTTTCCTTTTTTTTTCTTTATTTCTTCGTATTGTGAATGCTATTGTTAGTCCTCTTGTGTGTATTCTTTTGTGGCGTCCTCCCCAAGTTTTGAAGCTGAAGTTAAATTCTTGAGCCTAGGGGAATGGGAGGGGGGGAATTTCTTGGAGCGTATGTGGCTAGACATAATAGCATTTTTCTTCTACGTCAAGGTCATGTTATTTCTGCACCTGGGTGAGAGGACGTCTCAAGTTGGGACGGATGGTGATTGGGGCGTGTGATGCGATGATGGGTGCAGGGGGTGAATTTGTAATTTTTTACTTATTGCAAGGAAACACGGAACTTTCAGATTCGGTATTTCTCAGATGTGACAGTTTACTATCCAAATAAAACAGAACTTTTGAGAGGATGCCTGCCTCGGAGTTATTTGTTGGAGTGGAGGCGTTCTGGAACGCTGACGCTGATGGCGGAAGCTTCTTAGATGCCTTCAACCTCACGTTCTGCTGCAAGCATCAGAAGACCTCCAAGGGCCTGGTGGACCCCCAGAATCCCGAAAAAATCTCAAATCCAGCCTTCTTCCTTCCTCTTTGTCCCCAGGGGAACCCGGCCAGCTGGTGGGGCGCATCGTCCAAAGCGACCCGTTGCAGCGTTTTGATGGCTACCTCAACCACGAGGCCAACAACAAGAAAATAGCCCGAGATGTCTTCACCAAAGGCGACTCTGCCTACCTCTCAGGTGAACCTTCCTCTGTTCTTCTTTTGGGGTATAATAATTCTCACTAGACGGAAAAAAAAAAAAGGTGGTAAAATGGCGGGCCACGTTCCCTCCACAACCAGGCCCACTCAGCCACAGTTGGGCTCCCTTGTGGCCATAAGCCGAGGACGCCCCAGTGATCAAGAAGGCGAGGCCTGCTGTGCGCTTTCCAACGCGGCCCTCGTGGGTGTCGTCCCTCAGGTGACGTCCTGGTGATGGACGAACTGGGCTACCTGTATTTCCGAGACCGGACCGGGGACACTTTCCGCTGGAAGGGTGAGAACGTCTCCACGACGGAGGTGGAGGGCACCCTCAGCCGCCTCCTCAACATGGCGGACGTGGTGGTGTACGGCGTGGCCGTGCCAGGTCAGTGGGGACCACCAAGGACAACCGGGGCGGGGTGGATTGGAAGTGAGGAATGGCGGTTTTTCACACACACACCCTCACAATCGGTCTCACCTCACATAAGAGACCTCCCAAATATATATTTTATTTCTTTCTTACTTACTTTATTTACTTACTCACTGACTTATTTAATTGTCTGTTTATTTATTTACTTAGTATTTACTTTATTTATGTATTCAATTATTTATTTAACAATTTACTTATTTATTTAATTGTCCATTTAATTATTTACTTACTTAGCATTTACTTTGTTTATTCAATTGTTTAATTATTTAGTTGCTTATTATTTATTTATTTACTTACTCTTTACATATTTCTTTAATTAATTTACTTATTCAATTATTCATTTATTTATTTATTTATTTATTTTTACTTGCTTATTAATTTCCTTATTCATTTATTTTTTTTATTTAATTAATGAATTAGCTTATTTATTTTCTTACACTAATTTATTGATTTACTTATTTATTTACTTTTTACTTGCTTATTGATTTCTAATTCATTTATTTTTTCTTTCTTTCTTTAATTTATTTATTTACTTATACTATTTATTTATTTACTTCCTTTTTACTTGCTTTTGGATTTACTTATTCATTCATTGATTTACTTATACTAATTCATTTATTCACTGATTTACTTGTCCTTATTTATTGATCCATTTATTGAATTATTCATTCGCTTATTGATTTACCTGCTTTTTACTTGCTTATTGATTTACTTATTCGCTTCTTCATTTCTTTAATTGTTTGTTATTGATTTACTTACTTTTTGCTTGCTGACTTATTGATTGACTGATGTATTTATTGAGTCATTCGTTCATTTATCTATTTATAAAAAATTTATTGGGGCCGCCCGCCTCACCCTAGGGTTACATCTTTGTGAAAACAAAACCAAAAAAAAATGTTAAAATCAAACCTGAAAACCCCAAGACTCACAGGGAGGGACGGAGTTGGGGGGTGGATTGGGAGGTGGTGGAGGGGGCTGCTGGCGGTTTGCGGGGGGTTCAGGGAGCCCCTAGCTAAGATTCTGCGCAGTTCAGAGAACCCCGAAATCCCACTCCTGGGTGGGCCCACACCCACCCCTCCAAGGAGTCCCCACGTGGCCTGTTTTGGGTGCAAGTAAGTGCAGGTACGCACGGAGACTGGGGGAGGGTGAAAAACAGCCCCCCCGGAAGTTTGGGGAGGCTGGAAATGGGCCTCCGGAGCCCGGGGAGGCCATTTTCATCCTCCCAGAGATTCAAGGAAAGCCTCCGGAGTCCGGGGAGGAAAAAAAATGCCCCCCCCCACCACCACGGTGCAGGAGGCCGACTAGGCCACACCCACCATGGCCCTGCCTACACAGCAACTGAGCAGAGCACCCCTTGCTGATATTTTTTACACCCACCCCCTGGAAGACGGGTTGGGTTATTACTCCATCGACCCCTTCCTCAGTCAAAGAGAATTTTGACGGCCTGGTGGGGGTTTTATTGTATTTTTTATTATTATTTTTTAGGCACGGAAGGGAAAGCTGGCATGGCGGCCGTGGTAGATAAGGAGCACACCTGCAACTTGGAGAGCTTTGCTGCAGAAATGAAGAAATCGCTGCCCGCTTACGCCCGGCCGGTGTTCCTGCGGTTGCTGAAGGAAGTGCACCAGACAAGTGAGTCCCCTCCACGGGCCGTTGAAACAAGCTCCCATGTTGGTTTGCATCAGGTGCACCGTTGTACAATTGGGCGTTGCATGACGGAGATGGCTAGTTTGCTCCTAAGGGCCAGAACCAGGGGTGGGATGCTACTGGTTCGGCCTGGTTCTATAGAACCTGGAGTTGTGAAGAGGCAGCTGACGCCGAACCGGTTTGGTGTTTGGCCCACCTGCCGGCCCGGGCTCTAGGCTGTCCTTTATTCCTTGCTTTTCCCTCCTCAGCTTCTTTGCGCGGCACAGCTGAGGTTGAAAAAGCAGGAAACGGGGATTTTCAAATGCTGCGCACCCCAGCGCAGCGCTTGTCAGCTGTCCAGGCGGCACAGCTGATGATTTCTTGCAAACGCTACACACACGATTGTCCCCAGTTCGGAGAACCGGCAAATCGCTCCACTGGCTGGCCGCTCCCCACCCACTCACTGCTTTCTAGCTAATCTAAAAGCAGAGCCGAACCTTCCTTAGGACTGAAGCTTTTCAGTGCAGACTCAGGTAGCCGATTGCAGATAGATAGATCTCTAAGTGAATCTGTGATTCTGTGAGCAACTCAATCTGCCTGCCTGCTTTGCCTGCTTTTGGGTAAAAGTTGCTCTTTTTTGTTTTTATAAAAAGTTCAATATTTACATACATGGTGTGTTGTGAATTAATTTTGTGAGTTTGCTTGCAAGTAAATTTTATGTGACAGACTCAGGTAGCCGATTGCAGATAGATAGATCTCTAAGTGAATCTGTGATTCTGTAAGCAACTCAATCTGCCTGCCTGCTTTGCCTGCTTTTGGATAAAAGTTGCTCTTTTTTATAAAAAAAATAATCAATATTTACATAAATATTTATAATATTTATAATATTTACATACAAGCCATGCCCACCCAGTCACATGACCACCAAGCCACACCCCCAGAACCAGTTGTTAAGAAATATGAATCCCTCCCCTGGCCAGAACATCAGAATAATTCCTCTTTTTTTCTTTCTTTCTTTCTTTCTTTCTTTCTTTCTTTCTTTCTTTCTTTCTTTCTTTCTTTCTTTCTTTCTTCTTCCTTCCTTCCTTCGTTCATTCCTTCCTTCCTCCTTTCTTTCTTTCTTCCTTCCTTCCTTCCTTCCT